GACTATTAATAAATCACAAGGACAAACTCTAGACAGAGTAGGAAGAGTCCTACCTGAACCCATTTTCAGACATGGTCAGTTATATGTTGCTTTCTCTCGAGTTCAAAGAGCATGTGACGTTAAAGTTGTAAATACTTCATCACAAGGGAAATTAGTCAAGCAGTCTGAAAGTGTTTTTACTCTTAATGTGATGTATAGGGAGATATTAGAATAAGTTAATTTATCAATCATTGTTTTTATCAATGTTTTTATATCATGTTTTTGGTTTGTGTCATATCTTTGTTGTTATATCTTGTTATTGTTTATTAATCAATTTATATATTATTTTCATATACATTTTACTAATTTTCTTTCATCTCTGACACTTCTATTATAAAGGGCGAATAGTGCTATTAAAATATTTCTTCTAAGTAATTTCCTTTAATGTGCACAAATCCATGCACCAGGCCACTAGTATATTTATAAACATGGTAACCATTAAAACAGAAAAAAATCAATATTGAATAGGCAGTATTTTATTTTTTAATTTTAATTCATTTTTTTCAATTTTTATTTATTTTTTAAATTTTATTGTTTAAATTATTACAAATAGTAGTACATATGCCTTCTTTTCATTTTTATGCTGCTTTATGGTGTTGAAGGCAATATAAATGCTATCGGCCAAAGGTTATAGGAGAATTTAAAATGTGTGTGTTCTGCTCCCCTCTAGCACTTTTGGGCTTAGTTCTGGAACTTGTGCTCAGATGATCAGAGTCACATTTTTAATTCACCAGGCCTGGAAGCATGTGCTTTTTTTCTGACCGGGAAGTCTGTCCCTTCGGCTGTTTAGTCAGCAGTGATCCTAGGGACAGACCTAGACAGTGGTCGGCAAACTGCGGCTCGCGAGCCACATGCGGCTCTTTGGCCCCTTGAGTGTGGCTCTTCCTATGCCTTAGGAGCACCCTAATTAAGTTAATAACAATGTACCTACCTATATAGTTTAAGTTTAAAAAATTTGGCTCTCAAAAGAAATTTCAATCGTCGTACTGTTGATATTTGGCTCTGTTGACTAATGAGTTAGCCGACCACTGTATAGGAGGCCCTTCAGCTGTGCCGTCCCCAGGCAGAAGCGGAGACTGCCGCTGGCACCGAGGGACCTGCAGCCTCTGGGTGCTGGAGAGACGGAGTTCCTCTCAGATCCACAGAAAGACAGAGGGTGTGAAAACCTCTTGCCTGGAGATGCCAGAGGTCACTTCCCTGCTGCATGGCTCCTTCTCCACAATGAAATTGTGCCTCTTAACGTGCAGGAGTCGGTGGGGGCCCCAGGCTTTGTTAGTCCAAGGCAAAAAGTACAGCAAATTGTTTTCATAATTTGTTCCTCCGTGACATTATTAAACCTCTCCTCTGCTTCCAGGTGGGGAACAGAGAGTAGTTCCAGAAAGGTCCCTTAGCTGCCATCCTCATCCTTTACTCCTGTATCCGACCTTCCTGTCAGCCCTTTTCCACCCTTCTCCTTCCGTGAGCTTAATAAGCCTCTTGCCCAGCTATGGGGTGCTCTTCTTGAACCCCCAAGAAAGTTGTGGGTTACATGTTGTCCTTGCATATTTTAGGTGCAGGTTACCTGTAGTCATTTTACTGCTGATTATTATACAGGTGACTTCCGCCTACGGAGGCTGGCAGCTTCTGGTCTATATTTTGTGGGAAACTTATATTTGTAACAGGAAAAGCCTCGGGTTGGTTTTTAGGCTGAATTATACTAAGTGACCCCCGAGAAAGCAGAGTGGCCAGTGGTTTAGATTTTATGGGATGTCCATTATCTTATCAGAAGTAAATGTGCAACCATCACCCTTTTACAGGACGGTATTAATGTTTCATCATTAGAGAATTCAGAAACTTATCAATGTGAATTATTTATTTCTAAAATAATTCCAGGGAGAAAGATCATTGCTTGCTGAACTGAATTATGTTTGTCACGACTTATTTGTCACAGTAATCTGCAGTCCATGTCTATGGATTATGTCCTCTTCTGAGCTTTCGCCAGGTGGTCAGGGACAGCCTAGGAAGGGCATAGCTGTCAGCTAAGGGTTCGTATCTTTTTCCTCAAATAGTTTTGCCTCCACATTAATTTTTCGTGTTTTATGCAGCACCTCACACTAGAAGTCACACATTTTCATAAACCATATTTATGCTACACCAAGGGAAACATGGATGTGAAGGAGGGGCAAAGAACTAAGAAAACTGAAAAAGCTTACTTATCAACTCTTACATAGCTTCGTTTTTTAATAAATCTTAACCAGTTCACAGGTGTTGGAATTTAGAAGAGAGAGACCCATATAACCCATTGCTGTCATCTGCTTCTTACATTCAGTCACAGTGTATTTCTGGAATGGTAAAAAAAAAAAATTGTTTTGAAAGGAAAAAGGAAGAAGCATGTGATTATCAAGTAGCTGTTGAGTTTGCAAGAGAGCTTGTATTATTGTTTCTAGAAATATTCATTGTTGAGGGGAGTTAGGAATAAATACAGGGTTCTTTTACCCCGGGAAAGGAAGATTGTGTTATGTGCAGAATTACAAAATACTAATCTTTCATAAACCATGCTCCATTAATTCTTCTTTAGTTTCCACTTTCATTGTGTTTCGTGATCATGTTTCTTAACTGGCTCATGTGAGAAATTTAATATTTACTTAGTATTCAAGATATGTTGAAAGTAAGCATCTACCAAGCATCGATCAAGAATTAAATGGAATTTCACAAAATCTCAATTCTAATTTTTTTTTAAAGTGATAAAGCCAGCCATCTTTGAAATAGATGCTGAGGAAACTATGAAAAGTGCCTGGAAGTATTACTAATTATTAGTATTTAATATATTTACATGTTTATATTTAAGAACTGGCATGCTATTTTTAAATCCTTACTATCTCTATAATGTTATTTATTTGTCCACATTACATTAATATGTAGAAATAGTATAGTACATAAGAATAAGGTTGATTGGTACCTCTCACCTCCCCTTGTAATACATTGGGAATCCAGCCTTAGCACCAGGTCTGTCATGCAATTGGTTGCCTAATTCCAACAGCACTAGACAAATCATGGTATGGCTCCATAGTGGAATACCATACAGCAGTGAAAAAGGATGACTTTCAGTTACACACAACAACAAGGAAGAACTTAGAAACAAAATGTAAAGAAAAACGAGCTATTGAAGAATACATACAACATTACCATATCTTCAGGCATATAAATAAGTGTGAAACCATAAGAAAAGCAAGGGAGCGATGAGCACAAACTCCAGGAATGGTTACTTGGAAGGAGGAAAGGAGCAAGATGGGGGAACAAACAGCTGCCACACTGGGGACTTCAAAACAGTAGGAATGTGCTTGTTCTAAAATTAGACATGTTTGTCATTTTTTTATACCTTACATGTATTTTATAATACTTTATATTTATTTTATAAATTGAATCTATACAATCCTATATAATAAGAGAGGGATATGCTAATTAGCCCAGATATGCTAATTAGTAATGACCAGGTATGCTAATTAGTCAGCACCAGTATGCAAATTGACCAACACAATAATAAGAGAGAGATATGCTAATTAGCCCTGGTATGCTAATTAGTCATGACCAGTATGCAAATTGACCATGATTCAAACACACAAGATGGCCGCCCCCATGTGGCCACAAGATGCCTGGCAGGGGAGGGCAGTTAGGGGTGACCGGGCTGGCAGAGGAGGGCAGTTAGGGGTGACTGGGCTGGCAGGGAAGAGCAGTTAGGGGTGACCAGGCTGGCAGGGGAGGGCAGTTAGGGGCGATCAGGCCGGCAGGGGAACAGTTAGGCATTGATCAGGCTGGCAGGGGAGTGGTTAGGGCAGGGGTGGGCAACCCCTGGCACGTGTGCCAAACATGGCACACCAGTAACTTTTGCTGGCACACGAAACCCTCTCTTATAATCTTCCATTTACAATTTTTTTCTTAATATCGACTTTTTTATTTTTCAGATAAATTCAGTGTAGGTTCATCTTAGATAAATAAATAATTTTACATAACAAGTTATCTTAAAGACCATAGACATGGATTGACGAGAGAGGGAAAGAGCAATTTCTATGCCTCTGCCTTAACTCTCCCTGCCTTCCTAGATCCGACCAGTGTTTTGGTTTCATCCACATATGCTTGTGAATCTTTGTTCTCAGTGATGAATTTTGTTAAGTCTTGTAATAGGAGTAGCCTGACGGATGAAAGTAGTAGCTCGTGCATATCGCTGAAGGTCACGAAATATAAACCTGATGTAAAATCTCTGTCATCCGTGATGCAGCAGCAAAAGTCCCACTGATAATATCAAACGGAGTCATAAAGTTTTCTGTCGGACTGTCAGTGTACATGTATACATTAAAAAATAAATGTATTTTTCATCATCATATACTGTGTTTTTGTCACTCGAATGAATTTTATTATTTCTTCAAGGTTCTTCACATACGTACACCTTAAGAGCTATCAAGTAGGCGTAACATGTTCTCAAAAAATTAGGGTTGGCACGCAGAAGAATTTTGAGTCAGAGATTTTGCTGGTTTTGGCATGCACTCACAAAAAGGTTGCCCACCTCTGGGTTAGGGGGTGATCAGGCAGGCAGGCGAGCGGTTGGGAGCCAGCAGTCCTGGATGGTGAGAGGGATGTCTGACTGCCCGTTTAGGCCTGATCCCACAGGGCAGTTGGACATCCCTCGAGGGGTCCCGGAGTGGAGAGGGTGCAGGCTGGGCTGAGGGACACCCCCCCCCCTAGTATGTAATAAAGTTAATTACTTTTCAAATAAGTGCAATTGCAGAATTTAGTGTATGAATAATAGGATACCTGTTCTTGTATACCTGCAAAAAAAATATGCTTTTTTGGGAGGGGGAGGAGGCAAATTATAATGAGTTCTATCCCATTGCTTATGTTTAATGACTTAAATTTTATTTTGTTAAAGGGTTTTCTTTTTTCTTTTTCCTTCCATTCTCTCTGCCCTGCTGCTCCTCAATTTGTAGGAGAGATTTGAAGCGCTTTTCACCATCTATGATGAGCAGGTTACGTTTCAGTTGTTTAAAAGCTTTAAAAGAGTCAGAATAAATTTCAGCAAGCCTGAAGCAGCAGCCAGAGCACGAATAGAACTCCACGAATCAGACTTCAACGGGAAGAAGCTGAAGCTGTATTTTGCACAGGTACTTCACAGAGCCACGGACACTGTTCTCTAACCTTGTTCTTCTCCATCCAAAAATATTAGCAGTTCTCCACTTTCCATATTCCATCAGAGGCCTTGGAAAGGAACAGTCCCAGGCAGCAAATAATGTAAAAATATTGTCTCCTTTATTATACAGATACATAAATTTATGCATTAAGCGTATTTACCCTCCTATTTTTTTAAATTAGCAGTTAAAGGAATTCATTTTTCTGTGAGCTTTTCTGAACTGGGATTTCATGAGGGAAACTGGAGAAAATATCTGAAATCATTTCTGGGTTCTGTAATTTGTATGAGATACCCCATTGAAAATGGCTGCTGGCCTACGGGATGACCAGGGAGGTGCTGTAAGCTGTACCACAGGCTGTCTTAGACTTTGAGCATCTGGGAGGTTACCGAGAATTGGCTGTACTCATTCTATTCACTGATGTGACTCTGAGAAACCACTGTCTTCTTGGAAGAATTGGTGAAATGAAGGCTGATGTACTGTGTGCACTGTTTTATTTTCAACAGAGTATTTTTTTCTTGGTCTTAGCTTTCAAATTAAAAAAGGAAAGAGAAGTTTGTTATCTCACACTCCAAATGCAAATCTAAATGAAAGACGTCTGGACATTTCTTGGTGGAGTTGATTGAGATGGAGACAAATAACCTAATCTCTTCCAAAATTGGAATTTAGTGCTTACTACCATTCGTTATTCATTCATCTATTCACCCATTTATTTTTATTCAACTGTTACTTTATTGAGCACTTGATTCATGCGGGCTCTGTTCTGTGCACCGAGTCTTCAGTGGTGAACCAGACAGACCAAGACCCCGTCACTGGGAGACGCAGACTGTTAAAGAGAAATTTTTCATTTTCTCCAGAGAGATGTAGTAATTAATGTAAAGATGGAAATGAGAAAATAGGCCAGTGGCAAACGTTGAGTATCTTCTTCCCTGCAGGTTCAGGTGTCCCGTGAAACACGAGACAAGTCGTATCTACAGCCGCCCCAGCCGGTCAAGCAGTTCCTCATCTCCCCTCCGGCGTCTCCTCCCGTGGGGTGGAAGCAGGGGGACGACGCGATGCCGCTTTTAAATTACGATCTACTCTGTGCTGTTTCCAAGCTGGGACCAGGTAACAAACAGCTATCTTTCCTGGTTTTGTTCCAAAGACACTTTTGTACTAAAGACCGTATTGAGCTATTTGCATTCTAGCCACCTAGTGGCAACCTGATCAGAGTGAAGGATAAAGTCCCACAAGCCCGGCTTCACTAGCATTTGCTAACTGTGATCTTGAGCAATTTGCTGAGCTTCCACTCTTAGCCTCTGTTTTTCTCATCTATAAAATAGGGACCACACCCGCTCCCTTTCAGTGTGGTTATAGGGTTAAATGATACATGCATGATACTCAATAAATCGAACTGCAATTCTTACTGCTACAAATTCTACCGGTACCTCAGTTAGTGAATATTAGTCGCTTTCTCCCCCGCTCCGTCAGAGTATCAGGCAGACGGCTTCTCCACTGACTAGTATTTGAAGGAATTAATGGCGAATACCATATTATTCCTTCAAAATTCTTCTTTTTATTTATTTTCCTTTCTCCTTTTCCTTCTCTTTTCTTTCTGTCTCTCATCCCTTTAAAATAACATAAGAAATCAATGCCATTCATTGCTGGTTCAGACTAGTTGTCCGCCTAAGACAATGTTAGGTCTGTCGTAGGGGACTCAAGGGTCATTTTGAGGGGAAATGGCTTTGTTTTGTTTTAGACATTAGAGCCGATCATGTCTGAGGTCCTATAATAAAGAGCTTGCCCATTCTGGCTGGAACATTACAAATGTCTCCCAAGGGAAAACCGAAACCATTCTGAAGTTAAGAGATTCACTTAACTGTTCATAGAATAGTAATTAGCATTTTAACTCCTAGACCTCAGTGTTCCTTACTCACTTCTTTCTTTCGTTTGTTGTTGTTTTTTTAATCCTCCCCTGAGGATATTTTTCCATTGATTTTTAAAGAGAGTTGTGGGAGAGGGAAAGACAGAGAGAAATATTAATGTGAGAGAAACACACGATTGGTTGCCTCCTGCACGAGCCCTGACCAGGGCCCAGGCCAGGGAGGAGCCTGCAACCAAAGTATGTGCCCTTGAATGGAATCGAACCCAGGACCCTTCGGTCCACAGGCCATCGCTCTATCCACTGAGCAACACTGGCTAAGGCTTTTTTTAAAAGTTTTTTAAAATTGATTTTTACAGAGAGTGGTAGAGAGAGGGAGAGAGAAAGAGAGAAACATTGATGTTAGAGCAAAACATCGATCAGCTGCCTCCTGCATGCCCCTTACAAGAATTGAGCCTGAAAACCAGGCATGTGCCCTGACCAGGAATTGAACAGGCGACCTTTCAGTGCACAAGGCAATGCCCACCCAACTGAGCCACACTGGCCGAGGCATTGAAACAGCAAAACTTCCTAAGAACCTTGAAGTATCAAAGCTCTAATGCCAAAACAAGATAAAGTGCTCTGACATAGGATTTATTTTTTAAAATACATTTTTTATTAATTTCAGAGAGGAAGTGAGGGGGGGAGAGAGAAATAGAAACATCAGGGATAAGAGAGAATCATTGATTGGCTGCCTCCTGCACACCCCACACTGGGGATCGAGCCTGCAACCTGGGCATGAGCCCTGACTAGTAGTTGAACCATGACCTCCTGGTTCATATGTCGATGCTCAACCACCGAGCCACCACGACTGAGCTGACATAGGATTTAGAGATTGAAAAACCAATAGTCAGCAATTACAATGTGAGTAGAACAAGAAGTTTCAGGAGACAAAGCACTTCTTTTTGCTGTTTCCCTCCACAGGAGAGAAATACGAACTTCATGCAGGAACTGAGTCGACACCCAGCGTGGTGGTGCACGTCTGTGAAAGTGAAACGGAAGAGGTAGAGGAAACAAAAAACCCCAAACAGAAAATTACCCAGACCAGGCGCCCGGAACCCCCAGCCACAGCACTGAGCGAGCCCCAGACCTTCGACTGTGCCCCGTGAGGCCTGATGGTGGCGCGAGGCAGCTGCCATCGCGGGTGCTGGTCGTGGAAACAGTGCCCCCTGCTGGGGCACTGCTGCTCGTGGTGTAGGTGAGGTGAGCAGGGCATGCGAGGCCGTGTGTTCACCACGCCTGCGCCGTGGACACGGCAGTCTAGAGTAGAGGCTGATATTCTGAGAAGCACTGCAAGGATTGGCCCCCAACATGCAGCATCTCTTGACCACTTTGAACAGTAGCCAATTAGGAACACGGCCCCCTCCAGGAATGTTCCTTTCCCTGATTCTGTGTAGCATGGAGAACCCCAAAACTAAAGCTGTAGTCGCCGAGCGCAGTCCCGTTTCTATGAATTTACAAGTAGTCTTACAGTTTTAATAATCTAGTGTGGGTATTTTTGTACTGGTATAACAGCTTCTAACTAAACCTCTTGATCAAAGCTTAATTACTATTCAGTATACCTGAAATTTTTTGCACGTCAAGAAACCTGAAGTATAGAATAATTCATAGAAAATCATTTTTCTCTAGTATTTTATTTTCTTTAACTTTGGGGAAGAAATGCCAAATTCACGTTGACTATCAGAATCGAATGGCACAGATCCGCGTGCATACCGTTTTCTGACCTGGAATCCGAGGAGAGCGATGGGCACACCTCTGTCCGCGTGTCAGAGGAGGAGCTGCTGCTTTGGCTGGGGTTTCGCGGGAGCTCCCCTGCTTATGGCTCAGGTGGCTGCTGCCGGCTGCCGCTTGTGACCGTGTGCCAGCCTGTGGCATCCCAGCTGCTCCCAGCCACCTGCTACGTTCTCCTGTCCTGTGCTGTACATATTTGTGTGTCATTCGTAGACTTTAAATTAGAAAAGGAAATGGTCAGATTTTCTTACAAACCATTTTAAAAGTGTCCATTTGAGCATTTTTCATCTTGAAAGAAAAGCCACACTTACTCCGTTTCTGTGAATTAGGGAAAGATGGGGAGATCATTTTGGTAGTCAGACTTTTCTTTTTTGGTGAGGTTTTTTACAGTAGGCATTTCCCCTATCATAGAATTGTTTCTCACTTACGTTTCAGAGTGGATAGTTGAACTTCCTAAAGTCGAAGCAAGAATCTTTTTAATTTGGGTGGGTCTGTTCAGACTTTAAAGACCTTTTTATAGAAAAGTCTCATAACTCAATGCTTTGCTCTGCTGATTCTCTGCTCACACGGCTGTTTTATTTGTATGGCAGATGTCTGGAGTGCCTGGTCTGTATGGAAAGGGGTTGCACACCTGAGTTTGGCCTAATACAGTGTGGCTACCGCTATAAAAGAGAGAAAAATGCAGACATGCAGGCGTGATATCTGTACATTTTTGGTAACATGTTTTTGTGGTTTAGATGTTCTATGGTAGACTTTATTTCTGAGGACTTAACTATATTGCAAAAAAAAGTTTTGTATGTTTTCCTTGCTCTGAAATACTCTGAGGTGATAAACTCTTCTATTTGTACATATCTACCACTGCTACGCCTCCGTGTAAATTCAGTTCAGGTTTGTGATTCCATAAGTAATTTATTAAATTCAGATCACCATTTGGCAGTCCATCATTGCACCATGGACCCTACAAGCCAAGAAATGTATGTATTTTCAACAGTTGAGGATTTAAAAATTTCCTTTTAGTTATATTTATTCACTGTAATTTTCTAAGTGACCAAAATCCATGTTTTATTATTTAGCTTGGTTCTTATTCTCTATCTTCCAGTTAAGAAAGAGTATTTGTGTCCTTAACATTGAAAACTTTTTAAAAAGTCAAGCAGTGTTGCCCTGGCCAGTGTTGCTCAATGGTTAGAGTACCAGTCTGTGCACCATAGTGTCTAGGGTTTGATTCCCGGTCAAGGGTGCTTACCTGCGTTGCAGGTTCGATCCCCAGCCCAGTCAGGGCGGGTTCAGGAGGCAACCAATCAATATGTTTCTCTCACATCAATGTTTCTCTTTCTCTCTCTCCCTCTCTCTCCCCCTCTCTTCCTTCCATTCTCTCTAAAAATTAGTGGGAAAAACATCGAAGCAGTGTTAGCCTGGCCAGATAGCTCAGTTGGTTAGAGCATCATCCCAATATGCCAAGGTTGTAAGTTCAATCCCTGGTCAGGGCACATACAAGAATCAACCAATGAATGCATAAATAAGTGGAAAAATGAATCGAAAGTCAAGTAGTGCAAATTACCCCAAATGTTTGTTCTCCTTTCTTTTTTGAGAGAGAGCATTAAATAAATTGAAGAAAATCTTAAACTAAAATTAAATATATATATCTATAATTATTTAATATATAGTTAACTTTTCTGAATGGGGAAATTAATATTTTCATTCTTTCTAATATAATATTTCAGTAAGATGAACTCTGAAAGAAGAACTACTAAATGCTCATTAACTTTTTAACATTATGAAATCAACCAGGATCTCCATGGAAAAAAATATCCAAGGTTTTCTGGTCTCCGTTCTTTTGACTATTTTATATCCAGTTCATGTAACCATTTTGCAGGCGATGAGTCTCTGTGTCCTTTTTTTTTTTTTAAGTTCCTTTAAATACATTTATCTACATCTTTTCTTCTTTGAAATTGAGTTATTTAGATTTAACTATGATAGTATAGTAGCCATGTTTTCTTCAGAAATCATAACCTCTTCTTGGGAATCGAGTCATTTAGGTAACTGTGAGGGAAGAACATGAGGCTTTGGTCAGGAGAAAGCATGCGTGGGGGTAAGAAGCCTGTAACGGTAAGGACAGCCATAGGGCCTGTGGAGCATTGGCTCTTACGCCCTAGGCTCTCTCAGCATACCCTCCTGAGGACATCGGAAATGAATCCTTTAAAAAGATACTGGTTGCCCGGCTGCCATGGCTCAGTGGTTGAGTATCAACCTATGAACTAGGACAGTGATGGCGAACCTATGACACGCGTGTCAGAGGTGACACACGAACTCATTTTTTTGGTTGATTTTTCTTTGTTAAATGGCATTTAAATATATAAAATAAATATCAAAAATATACATCTTTGTTTTACTCTCTCTAAAAAATCAATAAAAACATATTTTTTTAAAAAAAATAAAGTAACATCTCTAATTTAAAAAAAAAAAGGAGATCCCCTCATAGGGCTGTTTGAGGATCAAATCAGATGCCTGTTTGTGAGTTGCGCACATAAGAATGTCTGGTACGCACCAGAAACAGCCTATGAGCACTGAACACATTAGATAAAATTTTGAAATGTCACACGGAAGGATTTAGGAAGCACGGTTGGCACGAGCAGGCCCTGCCCCAGCATGGCTGGGCCTGTGGCATGACGAAGGTTCATTCACGTGTCTCGGTCCTCTGTGGCCTCTCCCTCCTCCCGCACACCAGCCAGCCTTCTCTCTGGCATGTGTCTTGCCTTCATCTTCCGTAAGTCTTGTGATTGGAAAATTCCAGCTTAAGGTCATTGAGCCAGTGACTAGTCACCCCGTGTGGTTATTATGGGGAACTAAAGGGAGGAGGGTCAAGATGTACAGACCAACACTGGACAGACGTGTGAGGAGCCAGCACACACTAAACACACAGGTGCACAGACACACCCATCGCTCCCAGAGCTGGGTTGGAAGTCAGTCGTTGAGCATCCACAGAGACCAGCATTTCTGGAGGGTATGTTGTGCGGGTAAAGATCCTCACCAACACTTCAGAGCTCACTAAGCTACTTGTATTATGTTACTTAAATGCAACTTAAAATTAGGCAGAAATACCTTGTGCTTATAACTCTTACAACTACAAAAGCAAAACATCTACCAATTAAGCATGAAGTACAAAACACTAACATTCAAAATAAAATGTATTGGTATCATATTTGGCTGAAACCAAATTGCAGTTTGCCCTATGAATAGAAGACGGACTGCCCTGAGTAGCCACTGTTCGTGTCTGTTGGGTCTGGATAAGTATCACTGAGAAATGTAGGTAGGAACATTCTGGTGGTTAAGAATGTGGACTCAGAAGCCAGACTGCCCGAGTCTTCCTTAACCAGCTTTTTGACCTTGGACAAGTTACTCAATCTTTCCGACGTTGAAGTCCTCATCTGTACAGTGGCGATAAGGATGTTCTCACAGGAATGCTGGGGAGATTCAGTGAGTTAAGACAGTGCTTAGAGCATTGCCTGACGCACGGTGAATGCCCGATAGCTGGCGTTCATGTCATTTCCTGCTGAGAACGAATGACGTCCGTTCTCCTTGTCTCTGAACTGCTGCAAGTGGCTGCTTAGTCATATCTGTCAGATGTCATCATGAGGCCTTCCCGTGGGGGAAATAATTCTTAGCATATGCAGCCCACTTCAGTGCGTCTGTCAGTGGCCCTTGACTGCCGTGCACCACCAACAGGAAAGGCCCCGTGTTCAGAAACCACTTGGCCGGGGTTCCTCCTTAGGGGGCCACCCAGATCCCCCCGGCCGTGCCTGCTTCTGATTTCACACATACACACATAGACACCTGTGCGTATAGTTCATATACTTTTTCAGATTGCTTCCCAAGTGAAAGCACAAAGTTTCAAACTTTTTCATAGACACGGACCACAGTGTGGGCATTGCCAGGGATGAGGTGGGGAGGCGGGTGGAGGAGAGTACAGGGGTGATACATGGTGATGGAAGGAGACTGACCTGGGTGCTGAGTGAGGTGCGGTGGGATTGTGCACCTGAAACCTGTATAATTTTGTTAACCAGTATCACCCCAATAAATTCAATTTAAAAAAGAGCTTTTACATATGAAAAAAGATTTTTTTTCACAGAACCACTGCCCAGAGCCAGACAGAAAGACTATAGCAGTTTCACTGTTTCATTTCTATTTTCCTCAAAATTTTTCAGTTTTCTTTCTTTTGCCTTGCCTTCAGAATCTCATCGCTAGCACTTTTTCCAGTTGATGTGCCTGTCTCTCTTACTCTCATTGGGTCCCGAAGACCAGGACTGGTTCTGGTGAAGCTCCGTGAACTTGATTTCACCTTGACCTTGGTTTCACTTTTGTGGAAGCTCTAATTTATTGCACAAGCTTCTTGCTTTTTAGTGGCATTTCTTTTTCCATTAAGTCGCTCGCTTTTTCTAACATCCAATCTACTGTGTCATTAAAATCTTTGTTATAGATTAGAATTCATTTATAACTGATAATCATTGATAGTGCTAGTATTTCCATAATTCTGCTCCTTTCCTTACATTTTTATATTTGTGTACATGGAGGCTAAGCAGTATTATCAGTGACAATAAAACAGTTACAATAACCAAAAAAAAAAAAATGTTGTGATATAAAATAAAAAGATGTGGCCCAGCTGGCTTGGCTCATAGTTGAGCATCTGTCTATGAACCAGGTGGTCATGGTTCGATATCCGGTCAGGGCATATGCTAGGGTTGCGGGCTCGATCCCCAGTGTGGGGCGTGCAGGAGGCAGCCCACTGATGATTCTCTCTCATCATTGATGTTTCTATCTATCTCTCCCTCTCCCTTCCTCTCTGAAATCGATAAAAAATAATTCTTTAAAAAAAGGTAAAAAGATTTGATT